GTTAATAATTATAACAATGTAAAGTTTAAGTATCCTTTCAATTTTTTTTCAAATTCATTAAAAACACTCGTATAAGCTTTATTATTCTAATTTTTGCTGCACGTATCATTCATACATAATGTATTTTGGATGTATTTTTCCAAAGTTTCAAACGTTCTGAAACCAGGTTATTTCTAGGATATAATGTCAACAAAATTAACACTTTGTTCACATTGTAAACGTCTTTTCATTGTTATAAATTAAATATCTGCTCATAAGAAAAAAAACAACACATAACATGCCCGCCACACGGACTTAAAATGTATTTAATCAGAAACAGTTAAGCAACGTAGTAAACGTAAAAATCGCCCTCTGTCCAGTTAGGAAAGTTGGGAAAAATCGGTAGGCCTTTTACATGGAATTATGTGTGCAAACCTTTTCAATCTGAGTCCTTATAAAAAGCAAGATATTTTCACAAAACTACCATTCATTGCTCTAAATGTTTGATTTCTTGAATATCGTGATCAGTTTCAGTAATATCTATTATAGAGTTGACAAAATTGTAGGGTTAAGTTCGATAGTTTATGAGAATGATTCAATACTAAAGCATAACTTTTTTATTACAGACAATGACTACTTCTTTCTAAAATTAAAATGGTAAAGTTTCCTCTCTGGAGTTTATCTCTACATAGTTTAGGTTATTGACCTTTTTAGCTTGATTATTCGTTGCTGTTTCGTATATCTCAATCCCTTATGCTCTACACGGCCTTTGTATGCTATTAGAAAATTAGATTCTAATGACTTTAGAGATTTATACATCGCAATGAGGCGGAGAGAAAAGTGTATTATGCTAGCATTAATAATTCAAATACTTTTCAGGAATTCGTACGTTATTACTGTGAATTGAGGACGGTAAAACAATTATCTGAGAGATGTATACATCAAGATTCAAACGATGCATTTGAAACTAATATAAAATATATTTTAAACACAAAATACATTTATATTGCAGATACTGTTCCATTGGTAGAAATAGAAATTGTGACGTTATTATGTTCAAAGCTTCAATCGATAAGACTGATCTTTTTGATGTCTATATAAATGTGGCATTTTATTCATCACACACAAAACAAAATGAACTTATCTTAAAAGAATATCTTAATAAATTTCCAACGATGCACATAAGTCATTGGTTCTACGAACTTCACCTTACAAACATTGTTTGTTTATGATTTTTGTAGGGGATGTACAAAATAATGGAAAGCTTTACAAAATAACAAAGAAAAATTTCGCTTTTGTTTAAAATTTTACAAATTTACGTTTAAATTTATATACCTGGATATAAGTTAAGCATACCCCGGAATTTAAAAATGGTTGTGATTAAAATCACTGTTATAGTAATTTGATAAGTAGCGATACCAGTTTTGTTATCATAAATCAGTAAATTTATGATTTTAGTTTATCTTAAATAACCAAATCTAAATGTTGACGATTTCATAACCTAAAATGACAGTATGTATCCAAATGTTTAAGAACGTGTGTAACCGTAACGTGCCCGGATGATGGCCTCAACCCTTCCCCTCACACCCGACATTTTGCCTCAATTTGACATGACCACAAGTGAAGTTTTAAATTTTATTTGGGCAATGGTATGGACCACATGTAGTCCACTGCAACAACAGTAACAAGCTCTGCACCAAAAATGGCGAAATTTACCTCAAAAACACACATTAGACGCCTTACTGGAAGTATGAGCAGAATTTATATTTAAAACTTTAGAAAACAGTGAATGTTTAGACGAAATTATTTGCCAAAACAATTATTATGTTGTGCCATACAATGTGTTATGCATTTTAGCACAAACTATCTCGAGGTTAAATTTCCAGTAACATACGATGAGTCTGATAAATGGAGTTTTTTTCAAGTTGGCCGACATTAATTAAAAATTTTCTTGAACAGTGAAGGTATCAATTTAATTATTTTCTGAGACTATAACCAATAAAACATTATAAAAGTACTACAGAAATTTGGTGTTAAAAAGGAAAATCAATGTTTTCATCAATCTGTGACATATATAAGTCAGATCCGAAAAAAAGATATAAAGCTTTGCCATTAAAATTAAACCAGGCTTGACGCTCCTGCTGATATATCAATTAGTAAAATGATTAGGAATTCTTTGTAGTATCTTGATGAGGCATTTCAGTGATAATGTATACCATTAACCGCAGACACGTTGACCCGTTTGTACAATAAAGCGTTGATAAAAATATTTTCTCCCTCAAATAATCAGGTACGAACTCATCTCCTTATGTATTAACCCGAGGCGTTATTTTGAGCCAACAAGTGCTGAAACTCGGTATGTGAACTAATATCTTGAAGAACTGTTGGTTATGATGGCGCAACAATATCAATTAAGTTGTGTTTTGGATAATTAACAAGTGTTACAGTTCTCACTTAGAAAAATATAGAAATTACATGCTTTGTTAAAATTATTCAGTTTTGGGGTATTTAATTGAATTTCTGGCTAAGTCATTTTCATTTTCATCAATCAGCGTGACATGTATTAATAATGCTTTTGAAAACTTTTTTAATATAATATTTCTTTATCTGATAAACGTAATTCTAAATCAAATTACATTGCGTATGTCCATTAATTATTTCAATCAATTAAGATATAAAACAGGTTATTAATCCAATTCGATATGGGACTTCTTTTCAGGTTTTGACTTATAAATAAGTTATTTTTCAAATGTTTGATTCACAAACAATGTTTGTTCTTATTTCTTGCCAATGTCTTATTGTAGAATTGTACTTATATAGTGTTCAAAAACCATGGAGACTGTTAAAAAAACTCTTTGTCACTAGTCTGGGCTCTGTAGATATGTTACAGCACATATTGAGACGTGATTGAAATATGTAAACAAAAACATTATAAATTTATGTCAGGTCTTCTGTTGTGTTCACGATAAACCGTTTAGAACATTTTCATTTACTTCGAAAGATTTATTTGTTACAACAACGACTCATTGACGATATATTTTATGTTTGTGCCATAAATTTGAAAGAAAATCATAAAAGAGACATTCAAGCAAGCGCTTTTAATGTCAGTGGGTTCGAAGCAATGCACTACTTACATTGCATACAATATGATTGCTGTCTAGTATTCCTTTCCTATTTGTTGTAGTGCAATCATCAAATTAAACTCGTACGACTGTATATATTAGAAAATATGTAATAAACAATGTGAAAGCGTTTATTGTATTATGAATTATTCATACAATGTTCAGCAATTTGTGTTTTATTGTAGTAATTTTGGAATGGGTAATGTTATAAAGGACTTGTTATGCTATGAAAATTAAATATACAATGTGAGCTTTAACGTAATAAAATTAAAACTCTTTAAATGCCGTCTAGACATATTATTACATTACAAATATTAACATATCTGATATCATATCGTCTGATGTTGAAGTAGAAAATGGCTACATTCATAAATTATTTATTGTCGGTTATTTTTCACACTTTTTGAAACCATGAGAATTCTGGGATACCTTGACAACAGAAATTAACACGTTTTTATAAATTATTAGCTTCTTTTCATTTTTTAAATATCTGCTAAATATAACAAATAGCGAAATTGTAACAAATCCCGTGTCCGCTATGCGGACTTAAGTCTTACTTAATCAGCAACCCTAAAAGCACCGCAGTAAATGGTAAAATCGCCTAAGGAGAAAATTGATGGGTCTTTCATATGGAATTTTATAAGGACACGCTTTTTATTTTGGTCTCTTTGAAAAGTAAGACATTTTCATAAAAGTACACTTCTCTAGATTTTGATTTCTTGAATATCGTTATGAATTTCACTAAAATCTATATAAAACTATTATTATATTGTAGGATTAAGTTCACAATTTTAGGAGAAGGATTCAACATCAACGCATAATTCTCCTTTTCGTTGTAGACACAAACTATATTTTCCATATGTTTGATCATTCTTTTCCAAACGGTACATTTACCTCTCTAGAGATACCTTTTAACGTCGTTTAGATAAGTGATCATTTTAGTTTGATTATTCGTTGTTTTTGCGCAATCTTTATATAAGTCACGTGGTTCAATCGTCCTTTTAATTTTTCTCTTATCTCTTATGCTCTTCATGACCTTTATATATGCTATTAGAAAATTAGATTCTAATGACTTTAGAGATTTATGCATCGCAATAAGGAGAAAGAAAAGTGTATTATACAATCATTAATAATTCAAATGCTTTTCAGGAATTCGTATGTTATTGCAGTGAATTAAGGACTGGTAAAACAATTATCTGAGTATTATACACCTCCAAATCCAAGATATGCATTTCAAAATAAATGTGTTATATATTTTGAATACTAAATGCATTAATATTGCAGATACTGTTTCATGGCAAAATTGAATAATTTTGATGGTATTATATTCAAAGTTAAGTATATAAAATTGATTAGACTTATCTATGTGAAGTCTGTTAAAAATGCCTTTGACACACATTTAACTAATAAGAGTCAATTTCAAGTCTGAAAAATGGAGTTTTTCAAGATGATTGACATAATTTCAATGATTCCTAGAATAATGTAGATATCAAGTTTATATGTTTGTAAAAGAACATTGCCAATAAAACATTACAAAATGTGTACCGAAATTTGGTGTTAAAAAGCATGTCTATGTTTTCATTGATCTGTGACCTATTCTCGTCAGATTGGAAAAAGATATAAAGGTTTGCCGTTCAAATTTAACTATGCTTGACGTTGTTGCTGATATATCTATTAGTTAAATAATACATGAGAATGAATTCTCTGTGGTATCATTGATGAGTTGTTGTTTTTTTGTGATAAGGTTTATCATTATACTTAGATACATGGACATTTTTTTTTGCAATAAAGCATGGTGATAAACATGTTCTCTCCGGAATGAAAGGGTATATACTTATTATTAAATGATTATTCTGAGATATTCTTTGAAAACAATGAGTGCTGCAATCTAGTTAGTCTAGTCAAATTAGCCCGAAAATCAAGCTAACCTAGAACTAATTGCAAAAGTTTTTGTTTTGGTATTTTATGATGGTACCATATCTGCTTGATATTAGGAAAAAAGTTGCACTCTTTTGCTGAAGGGGAAATGTGATAATTCCAGCTTTCAAGTTGACACCCTTAAATTTCAGTTATAAAATCGGCGTAATTTGTTAATTTCCGATGATACTAAAAAAACCACTTCTATATATAAGTTAAACATATTTATTACATGCAAACTTCATACAAACAAATTTTTTGTCCATGTTGATACAAAAATTTATGCATTTAAAATTAAAAAAAAAAATTGGTCGGCAATTCTATGACAAACTGGTGTCAAATTACCCCACCCACTTTAATTTAAAATTTTTAACCAGTCAAATTCCGATATATAAGCAGCAAATCATCCATTCCATGTATATTTACAGTAAAAAAATACATAATAACATATTTATGCATGAAGAAGTACTTTGTAAATTATGTCAACTGTATTCATATGAATTAAAATGGACATACATGTGTATTGTAAATTTTTGTTTTAGATAAATGTTGAATAATTCAGGTACACTTTTGTTTAGCTAACATTCGGCACATCCAACGCATTTTGAATAATTTGTTTGTTTCAAGCAAAAAAAAAAAAAAGAACAACAAGTAAGTATAATTAAAAGCGAGTAAAAATAACCAAAACTACAGATGAAAAATACTATGCCCGGTCTATGGAGAAATTGTAGTATATACATTTAAGTGTCACTTGTTGAAATTTGACATTACACACGGAATAAAACTATATTACAAATGTACAAATGTACCGAAGAGCTACCTAATTTGGCAAGCAACAATGTAGTGATAATAAATATAAAGAACACGAATATACAGACTGTTTCATTCACAAGAACTACATTTTTGTCACATCGATATGTACACTTAAATCACTTAAAGTATATGGTAGGGTTATTGTCATGCTTGTACTAACACATAACAGTCTACAACATATAAGACCACTTCTATAAATTTGAAATTATCGTTCTGTATGTTAGACAGTATAGTAATACATTTTTATTTACAATAGGTGAACTTTGACATTGACAATTAGAGAAAAAAACAGTCTGTCGCAACACAAGCAAATATAAGAAAGCATTGATAAGTATGTATTCAATATACAATCTAACTCTAAATGCACAATACCATTGTACATTTGGAGTTAGATTGTTTCAACCATTTTACTACATTTTTGTTATAGCGCATAGTTTGGTTAGTACAAGTTTATTGTTCTGTGATAGACACCAATGTAAAATATTGTGCATAAATTTTAGTATAATTTGACACTGGATAAAAGAGTATAACTACAATACTAAAAAATACTTCATATGGCAAGCAAACAGTGTATTATTATAAATCTTTTGTTTTTATTACAAGCTACATTGTATTTACTTCGCGAGGAATATGAGACTGTTCAATATATAGAACATATTTGTCTGCAAAGTTTTATATGAATAACTTAAAGTGAAACCTCTATTGCTTATGTAAAAACAAGATGCCAGATGCATGTACATTGCCAATAATAACACAAAATATGAATACATGTCAATACAAAACAGGTAAAAATTGACAACTAAATTCTAAGAGCATTGTGTCGATACAAGATCTAGTCCTCCATGTCTGCAAAATCAATATCTGAAATGGACCGACAGTTTGAACAGCTAATACAATGACATTCTCCACAACCAACCGAACATTCGAGGTCATGTTTGCGACCGGTACATGTCTAAGAGTGGCTTTTTTGCAATTGCATCTGATATTTAAAAGAAAATCTGGAGCAGCGGGTTGTGTAGATTTTGTGGGTACAAGAGTCCTTCGAGAAGTTCCTATCCCCATTCAGTTGGATCTAATTTATCATTTCCAATCCATGTTTGTGTTTGAAAATATGACGGTATAGAGTGTTGCGCTGCAGCATCAGACGTAGGCTGAATGCTTTGAACTTGAATAACAGATGAACTTGACATGGTTTTACTTACAAATTTGTGAAATCTCAGTCTGTTCAAATTTATCTCCCTAGCTCCATCATATAATATCCTCATGGATTTTTCACCACCTGTAATAATTTCTTCTTTGTTGAAGAATGAAATATTGCAGCATTTTGCCGGAACACTTCATTTTTACACATTATTTTAAGAACTGTCACAATCTAGAGAAAGCGTGCAGGAATGGTAGGAGATAACAAATCTCTATTCCAATCACATTTTGGTGTCTTTTGAATATATATGCCAAACTATTTGGGTTTTCATTGTCTGATCTGTAATATACATTCTTCGAATCTGACGAAAATCCAAAACTGACAACAGTCTGTTTAAAACAACATTTCCCCACAGATTGTTTCTCTCAGAACATTTAAGTTGTATTGTTTCCTGCATCCTCGGAAACCCATGTTTTTTACCGTATACATGTATCGGTAATAATATTAAATGTAGTAGATACGAAATGTGTACCGTGGGTTCCGACGATGTGTTTCCTGAAAATCAAAACTTCTACCAGGATGAACATCTACGTTTCCCTTTTAACTTGGTTACACTTAACATTGGAACTATTTGAAATGTTTCTATTGTGAATAAAATCCCTTCTACAGTCTTGGTGCACCATTTGGCCTGTAATTGTTCGTATACTTGTATACTTGAATTCCTCAGATCGCTAGCATGGTTAACACTGTGGCTTCCCTTCTCTCTGAGAGTGACAATTGGGACCCATTCTGGATATCCTGCGCACAAAATACGCACGTTGTAGAATCTGAAAGCATATTTTAAATCTACAGATCTGTATATAAAATGATTTTGTATATGCATTATTTCACAGTAACCATAGTATTATGAAGTGTAAAATATGAATATACATGTATATAACTTATGAAATATGTTATTTTATATATGTTTGTGTATTGATTTTCTTACTATTCAGACCAGTATCGACACATGGGAACATGATGAATGTATAAACCATCTGACATTGGTAAAAACAAAATATACCTGTTGCCATGTTGATATTTACTTGTAGATCCCGAAATCAGAAATGCACAACGGGTTTCTGAACAAAAAAAATCAGTATAGAAATATTCAGTATAAAATGTGCATTTATTTCAGCCTACCTTAAATAGCCTATGTTATTTCCCTGCATTTAACATACATTAAACCTTTGTCCGAAAACTTAATGGCAAGCATGTGTACATTTACAGAGAAATTGTCATGAGTTTTTATTAATTTAATATACAGTAGTCAGTATAAACATACCGAAATGCAACGCCCTTCATATCGTTGTTTGTTCCATCAGCATGGTTTGGTAATGTGGCTTGTATCATCTATAGAAATAAAAGACATATTTTGTGAGAAATTATGTATGAATTTAGCATATATTTATCTTAGCATATTAACTTTGTATTTAAAGGAAACAAGTATATTTTGCATGAACCGATACTCAAATGACATAATCGTTCATTTCATTTTTCCACTTTGATGAATAAAGCGTGACGTCATTTGGCCAATGTTCGGCATTACTTTCCATAGGTGTTAAATGTAGGCAATAACAAAAAATATCCGTACTATGTTATACTTTGCATTTTTAAAATATTAAATCAGTAAGTTATACAATCACACAACAGACCGAGGAAGGTGAACATATATGGAATGTATTGTATGTTCCGGGCAATCATGTAGTATGAAAGCTCGGGAGCGATTTTGCAAATTTCCTATGAAGAGCTACTGGTGTGGTCCATTTCACATGATAGCATATTTAAAAAAAGGACAAGTTAAAACAAACATTGTTCATATATTATAGATAGAAATTGTGCATAGATAATACTTAAAGTATGACTCATCTTGATACAAGAGACAGCTGAACATAAAATAATCATCAAATGACCTTTGGTGTGTAAATCATGCATGTCGTATCTGAAATTAAGTATTGATTTTATTTATGTACATTTACATGTTTAATATTGCAAAATATATATCTAAATATAAATTTACATGTAAATCTGAACATTGTTTTATATACTGGTTTGGGACCACCAAAACCAGACAACCACTAAACCCTGACGGCCCCGAAAATGCTTTATTTAGTATTTTCTTTGTTCAGTGGTTGTCAGTCACTTTTTCATCAACAATAAATGCATGTTTCTTCTAAATTAAGTAAATAAAATTATTTCAACCTACGTAAATGGTAATATTTTTATTGTCTATTTCTATAATGTTGACCTTGAAATTTGGGGGTCAAGAAAGCATTGCCTGACCTCATATACCAGCTATAATCATTTGCAGAGTAAACAATAGAATATCCAAAACTTCAGCATTTGTTGCTGAAATATTGTATATCATGATAAAAATCTAAAATCAAAACACCTCAAGCTTTTATCTTAATTAAATCACGTGATGTACATATCTGTCCAGACACATAATACTGTAGTGTAGACAATTTAGGTGATTTTGATACCCTCCTTGTGGAGCCTCAGATATAAGTGTCAATACAATCAGAAATAAACAAACTAGTTTGTTAGTTAGGAGAAGAACCTAGCTGAACTGTGTCAAATTTTAAGGTCTCTAGGTTAGAAATTATGAAATTTGTACGGAAAATTGTTCAAAAAGTGTTCGTTTGATGGTCCCCGACCAGTACAGTAAAATACCATGTTATAATAAAATAATGCATATTCACGACGTATATTATTTCCCGTTTTGTCTTCCGTAGATTAAAAAATCGTGAAATTTGTTCATTTCAAAGTAACAATATAATGTCGAGAATACAAAGTTTTCATGTTAAATATGTCTTATTAACATCGTTTTTTCTTATAAATATATATATATCGTTCATTTTATGAATATAATAAAATCAAATACTAACATTTACTGGTGATATTGGTTTGCTGTTTATTTCCAAAAATATTTAACATAAAATCGTAGTTATATTTAACTATGGCACTTATTGTGACAGTAAAAAGGCATAAATGATAAAAGTAAATGTAAAATACACGAAACAAACTTACCTTTGCCATCCAAACGCTATTGTTGATGAAAAATGATATTTATTTTTCGAAGGAAGTTTCACGAAATCATATGACAAGTTTTCAATGACGCGCGTGCCTACGTAAAATTGTTACGTCATAGGAAAAAACTGCGTGTATGGTGTACAGTTCGGGTCTTAAAATATAAAGTTAAAATTCGTGAACTTTGAACGCTTGTAAAAAAAGTTGTGCACAGAGTTATACGTGCAACTTTTTTTCTGACATATACATATACCATACCTATTCAATGAACAAAGATTCAAAACTTTTGCAATTAGTTCTGGGTCATATTTTATTTTTACTAGACTAAGTCACTTCACCGATAACTTAATGAATTGTTTGTACGCTTATATAAATAATCATTGCTAAACAACTTCTCATTCATTTAATTTGTGTTTTGGGAATAAAAAAAATCTGTAATAATTTTTATTAAGAAAAATAATTAAAACTACGTGCTTTGTTGTAATTAATAATTATTTTAGATTCGCTCAAGGTGTTATTGTCAAATAAAAATTAAAACCCCTGTTTCGATTTCTTGATATTTTGAAAAAAAAAACTCAGTCAATAACATATGTTAGGAAGTGAAAAAGTAGATGCTTTGTCTAAATAATCTCAAACAACTCTACTAGTAGAATTACAGTTATTGAATAGTGATTGTAAACCTTCCATTTGTAAACTGATGATCAAAGAATATGTCGTCTATGTTTTACGAACCTAGTTGATGAATATGAGATTCTCTTGATTTGTGCTCATTTTAAATTTATACGTAAAAACATTCTACGAGATGTATTGGTGAAAAATCATCCACGTGAACAATTTATATTTGTTCTAAGAAACCCAGATGCGATATTATATAAGACTTTAGTACATTTCTCCACCATACACTTTAACATTAAAATAGTAATAATATTAAGAGGATATTTTTTCGTTTGAGTGAATATGGAATATATTTTCACGAAACATGATAAAATGCCACATATTTTCACGAGCCGGGACGGCGAGTGAAAATATGAGGCATTTTATCATGTTGAGTGAAAATATATACCATATTTCACGAAAAACGAAAAAATAACCTTTTTATTTAATTTCATTATCAAAGAAAAATGGTTATGAACCCCCTTGCCTGCTACGCAACTGCAATTATACAGCGCGCAGTAATATAAGTATCGTCTTGTTTTGCACGCGATATTTAGCGCTAGATTGTGACGTCACGTAAACAACTTTTTAAACGTCTGTACAGCGTTAATGACTGAATTAAAGATATTGGTGTTCGGATTTATTTTCTTAGTTAGACCATTTTCTATCATTCTAGATAGTTTTCAAAACAAAATTCAACAAAAAAGTTGTTTGTATTTATCAGATTTTCTAAACAAAATCGCGAAAGAAGTCCCTTAAAATAAATATGAGTTTTGACTCCGCCCACTTTCATATTTATATTTCATATTTATTTTTATAAAATATGAAATATATTTGACTGATATAGCACCATATTTCATAGGTAAAATTAAATAAAGTGTAGTATATCCGATGATCTACGAAATTCTTCAAATATCTTTTAATTTCTTTATATGATGGCTATACATGTTCATATTACAATATACTATGTGCATTTATGGTCACCCCATTGAATTTTCCATTGCAATATCATGGTTGTTGTATTTTATGTGGCATTTTGCGCCGGACGCCAATGTTTCAAGAACTAAATTTTACTTACTTCATGTACTTACTTACTTACTGAATGGAAAATCAAATTGTGATAAAGAGACTAATATCAATGTCATGAAACGAGAATTCAATATTTATTTAACAGTTTTATTTGTTGAAACATTCAACATATTTTAACAATAAATGATTAAATCACGTTGCAGCATAACCAGTGCATTGCAGCGTCAGTAAAGTATATTTGTAATATAAAGCATATCGGATAATGAATTAAATTGAACTTTTTATTTATTGATTTATTGATTTATTGATTGATTTATTTATTTATTTTCTTCTAAATATTTGATTTGATTATGATATGATGACTTACTGTCTGGTTATTATTATTATTTATTTATTTATTACCATTATTTTCTAAGTTTTGTTTGTTTGATTGATTGGATTTTACGTCACATCGACACAGTATACGTCACATTTTCATGGTAATATTACAGATGTATCGTCCAAAGATAACATCAAAAGTGAGAAATAACACACAACGATTGATACATAATAAATGAATTTCGCATTGATCAATTGTTCATTCATCGGGTAAAGTATCTGATTTATTACCTGCAGGGTGCGTTGTTTTCTGTATAAGTTGTGAGGAGACAATCGATCAAAGGATAAACATTCCATATGCTGTTCTGATTACAACAAACGTATACAACTGGAATTTTCATTATTATATCAATCGGTTTTAGTATTGTATTATTTATATTAGAGAACTTAGCTGAATGATCAATTCGCACGTAACTTTAATAAATTTGAGGAAATAAGTATGTTATTTGAAAGATTTTAAAATTAAACATGCAGGTCAAACATCATAAATGTTGAATTTAATTATATTATATAGCTTCATGCTTAAACATGTATTTTGTTACGTTATGCGTAACGTATTTAAAATGTTTTTGATTGACAGACGAAGAATAACTGGTGTCTTACAGTAAAATAAGGAAGTCGTTTATGCCAAAGAATAAACTTTCCCATTGCATACTTTAGTAATGTTTAAAGCACTACAAACTGTGTGACTGTATATAAACTATTGACAGGCTGTCATTCAATCCTAGATTTTATAACTACCTTTGTTGTTGGTCTTGCTGGTATATATATCTTATGACATCGTCTGAAAAAAAAGTGATTTAATTTTGTTAATTTATGACATTATCTATGCTTGGTCTTCTTTTCGTTCGCAATAGGCCGCTTGGGACATTTTGTTATATTTCAAAAGATTTATTCAGTTTGTGTATAGAGCTTTAAGCTATTTGAAACATTCGCGAATCCATTCCTAGAACCAACAAGTACTTAGCAATGAATGTAAAGTTACTTGTTCACGGAAACAACAGCTTGCCCCTGACGAGGTTGAACCCAAACAGACAGCAATTCTTAGATTACTAGTCCCACGTGTTACCAACTCGGCCATGCCGTCACTCAAGATGTATTGGAGATGTATTTTTCATTGATATGTGCAATTAATTTGACAGAGAGTCATAAATGGTATTTGTACGCTTCACGTTTAATGGTAAACTTAAAAATTTGAAACAATTTTCCACATTATACAACATGTTTTGCTTTAATTTAATACATTATAATATGTCACTCTTACAATGCCGTCTGGACATAATATTTAATCACAAATAATCTGATCTGAGATATAATCGTATAATGTTGTTTGGGTTAATGAATTAAATAGTTATCACATACTTAGTTATTATAACACCTTGTTTTACAGACACAATCGATTAAACTTTACCAGTTTTTCGTAACAAATTAATATAAAGTGTAACGTGTCATATCT